GGCACTCGATGTGTCCTTCTCACCTGTTCTCCAGGCTGCCCGCTTTGCTCTGTCCAGCAGGACTGGTGGGTGTGGACTTCACACTCACTGCCTGGCTTTGGGTTGGGTTTGGCCAATGAAGAGCGAGTCAAAAAGCTCTGGGAAGTGAGGAAGGCGAGTGAGGTGGCTCCTCTGGCTCCTTCACTGAGTGGTCACCCTGCTTGGCTGTGTTCCTTGGTCAGTTGTCTTTTTGTGATGCCAACTCTACAGGACTCTCCTTCTGGGTTTTGGTAACGGTGCCCACTTCCTTCTCTCCCATAGAGATGGTAACAGCTCTGTGCTGCTGCTCACAGGTCCCATGGGCTTCCTCTGCAGTATCACAGCTTGGAAAATTCTATCTTAGATGAGTGTTGTCTGTTTCCTACTGGGATCCTGACTTAGTGGTGAAAGAGCTGTCACTACACCTCAGTAGACACATTCATTCTGGAGCTGCACTGAGGAAAGCAGGTGAGAGGACGTGGGACTGGCCAGGGAGTTAGGGACAGGATGGGACAGGAGGATAAGGGCTTACAGTCTTGACAGAAGAAAGCGGAAAGTGGCCTGATTGGGGTTCATGGGATGCAGTGAGAACAGAAATGTCCCCCAAACATTATTGTCAGGGCTCCTCTAAAGCTTAAGAGAGTGAAGTAGCTTGAGCTGCAGTGAGACAGACATAGTAGTCTCCACTGGGCTTCTCACTGAAGGAGCACCGGTGGCCTAGTGGTAAGGAGTTGTGCTCCCAAACCAAAGGTATGTGGTTCAAAGTCGCCTTTTACTCTGCTGAACAAAGATCAGCTATCTGTTGTGCAATTTACAGCCTCTGAAAACCCCCTGGAGGGTCAGCTATGAGGAGATTCTGACCCGATGGCAGTCAACAACAACATCATGACAGCAGGTTTGGATCAGAAAATCCTTCTGAACACAAGTGGCAGGGCTGAGTAGATCATTGATCCTCTGGTGGGAGTCAAGCCGTGTTCCTGCGCGAGGTGGCAGAACAAAGGGGCAGGAATACAGGCCCAGCTGTTTGAGCCTAGGCTTCAGTCCTGCCTTCCAAGCCATCACCTACGTGGCTGTGGGCAAGAGTCTACCCTTCTCTGGGTCATCAGTCCCCTCACAGGGTGTGAGGATCGAGGGAGAAATCACCAAGGTGGGAGTCGCTGGCCACTCTTCCTAAGGGACTAGGTAGTATCACACTGTGCATACACCGAATCTCCTTTTTGTCCTTGGAAGCCGACACGCTTTGGGTCCCAGAAGCCACAGAGTGAGCGGCACACGCTGTTGTCATGGCTGGGGTGGGAGGGCGCATTAGGCTGAGGCCTCCTAATCCCATTTTCTGCTCTCACGTTAATCCTCTTCCTCCTTCTGTCTGCCACACACTCAACTCCCAGTACACTGACCTCGGGGTGAGCAGGGCTCCATCACCACCAGGAGACAGCAGCGCTCCCTGCCGGGTGGGGTGAAGGGCTGACCTGTCAACCTGGACGCTCCTCTAGGCCAGGCCAAGTTTCAGCTCCCCAAGAACAATGATGACAATGGCCTCAGTGAGTCCTTCCTAAGCACTTTTCATTTTCAATGTTGGCCAAAAGCTTTCTGTACTTTCAAAACTAAAAAAACCTTATTGCCATCGAGTCAGAACTGCCTCACAGCTGGCCCTCTGGTGGGTCTTCCGAGACTGTAAATCACGTGGGAGGAGACTGGCCCTCTTTCTTCTGCAGAATCACTAGTGGACTTGAGCTGCCAGACGTGCCACCTTCATGTTAGCTGTGCAGCTGCCTACAGACGACATCACCAGAGCTCCTTGTCAGGACCCACTGAATCCCCATCACACTCCTGTGAAGCATGAGAGCTTTGCAAATAGGGTAAATGAGGGATCAGGGATGGTGAGGAAACAAAACCCTGGAGGGCCGGTATCCTGTCTGACTCCAGCAGGCTCCAGGGCTTTAGGGGGGAGGTCACTAGGCAGAGCCTTTCTTTTCGGGCTGCTTCCTGCTGTCCTAGCCCCAGCCAGCCAGGAAGGACCCCCCTCTCTCTCTCCACATGTCTCGAACTGCCAACTGAGGCATCAACAGAGCAGGTGGAGTCTTTCCACCCACGAGACTTGATGTGCAGCGCAGGGGAGTAGACAGAACACAGGCTGAGGTGAGGTGGGGTTGTGGGGAAATAGGGGTTGGATAAGGCTCTGGCTTGGGCGGGAACAGAGACCAGACACACTCAGGACTGGAAGTTCTCCAGAGACAGGTGGTCATTGATGGAGAGAAAGAGTTTCTCCTCAGATTTTCACTCTTTCCCTCATTTTGGGGGCACTCCCATCACCTCTCCATTCCAGCTGCAGTACGAATACCCTGAGGCTGGCCTATTCTCCGGCCCCTCTCACAAACAGGAGCTGAGGCAATGCTCACTCACAACAGATGGAGCTGCTCATTGTCACTTCAGCTGCCTGTGGGTGAGGCGGCCTCCAGTGACTCCACGCTCCTTCAATTGCCGCATTAGTACGTCAGAGTATTACAAGGAAGAGCCAAAACTCTAACTGATCTTCCTCTTGCTGCAACTGTTCTTCCTCTGGGAGGCCTCGCATAGTGTTGAAGAAGTCAGGGCTACATTAGAATGTTTACTACATCGCTTAGCAACTGTGACTAGGGCTTCAGCCTTCTCGCTGAAAAACAGGAATGGTATTTTTCAGACCTCACCAAAGCTGGAGCTGAGCACCGTCTCCCTCTGCCTTCTGAGGGGTAGCGAAGCCTTGTCTTAATCTCTGGGAACCTGAGCAGCGGTGTGGGGCTCTTTCAGCCTCTCTTTCTCCGCTGAGTCATGTAGTATCATATCACATGCCTGCGGGCCTCTCTGCTGACCAGCTGGGTGTTTATACCCCTCTAGGTTGCACACATCTTCCCTCTGCTGGTCTCTTCCTTTCAGGTTCTTGTAAATTCTGGCATTTCCTTGGACCTACCTTGGTAGTGTGAGACCTCCTGCCCTCTGAGACCATAAAACTGGCTGGTTGGAGAAAAGCAGAAAGGAGTGAAACACACACACACACACACACACACACACACACACACACACACA